AAAAACGGTGCCAGGCTTTGAACTACCACGTCAGCCATGGACAATCCTGAATAGGATTCACACCTCATACAGCGTCTGTCAGGACTCTCTGTATAAATGGGGCATATTCTCCTCCCCTCAGTGTGACTGCAGGGTCCCCCATCACACTGTAGATCACATTGTGACTGGCTGTAAACTGAGGGTATATACCAGTCCAGTATCTGATTTTTTTAAAAATATAAATATGCTGCGCTTCAATGGTTATATAGCCTAGACCAGGGCTCTTCAAACTTGGCAACTTTTAAGACTTGTGGACTCCAACTCCCAGAATTCCTCAGCCAGCGCTAGGGCTGGCTGAGGAATTCTGGGAGTTGAAGTCCACAAGTCTTAAAGTTGCCAAGTTTGAAGATCCCTGGCCTAGACATTGGTACTTGAACATAGATCTTTTTAAACATTTATATTTTATTGGGTTCTACTAATCTAGACGAAATGTTAATATATATTGCTAGTCCATGTACGATATGCCATACCCTAAACAAATAAATAAACTGAGGGATAAATAGTGTTGGAAGAGTTAGAACAGGAAAAACCCATTTTGCTCCTTAGCTGGTTTAGTCATGATGAAAGGAGGAAGTAGAACCACAGAGATAAGACTTGATGAGCGTTCCTACTTATAAGAAGCTCTCCCTGAACCTCCACAGAGCTAATCTCTCCAATTACAAAACAGAAGTTTTATGAATCGATGTTTAGAACTTCTAAGCAGCATCAAAAGGACGTTTTAATCCATGGGGAAGTATTTTTTCTTTTGGCAGAAACACCATCAAAGCCCCACATGGCAACCTCCTTCAGTATGAAAACTCAGCTTTTTCAAAAACACCTACCATCCAGGTCCAAGAAAATCTATCTCTTGCAGACTAAGTTCAGCTTGTTTTTATAATGTAGCAATGACACACTGTTTGCCTTTCCCACGGGGTGTTTGTATGGATCTCCACTGAGTGGAATAATACAGGAGAAGCACTTTGAAAATCCAAGGCCACTGCAAGAACCAAGACCCCCTGAATGGTGAAATATGAGCTACTTAGGCAATGTTAAGGCTGGGATACAAAAACACGAAGAAATTGGGAGAATTTTTCCTAATAGTGAAAGCTCTACCTTTCTGCTGACATCTGACAGGTAAACCATTCATTCAATGTTACAATAGCACTGGAAAAAGTGGCAGGACTGTTTTTCACACTTACAACCACTGCAGCATCCCCATGGTCACATGATCAAAATTGAGATATTTGGCAACTGGTGTGCATTTATGACAGTCGCAGTGTCCCAGGGTCACGTGATCACTTTCTGCAATCTTCTGGCAAGCAAAGCCAGATTCCACTTAACAAACCTGTTATTTGCTTAACAACTGCAGTGATTCACATAGCAACTACAGAAAGAAAGGTTGTAAAGTGGGGCAAAACTCACTTAACATTTGTCTTGCTTAGCAATGGAAATTTTGGGCTCAATTGTGGTTGTAAGTTGAAGACTACCTGGGCAGGTTTTCTAATTATTATTTTTGCTCTCCAGATCAAATTAACAACTACCAGTTGCATTTTCAGGGCTCATCTGGTAACGATCTTAAATCAGTGCGCCCAGGTAGAATTGGAAAAGAAGACTTAATAAATAGTTCCAAAACTGAACAAATTAAACAGTCATTAGGAAGAACTCTCCCCATAAGATTTGCAGGGTTGAAAATGACAAGTGATCCATGATATCCTATTGATTTTCATGCACAGCTGAAAAGTTTTGGCTTCCTGTATAAAAAGCCTTAAGAACTACATACAGACTATCAAGATACATCTGAGGCAGCTAGACGAAATAATTAAAATAGCCCATCACAACATGCAAGGGTGCAGGACTGAAAGAGCTGGGAAATGGAATAGGGCAGGGATTCTTCCAGGTTTCAACTTCCAGCAGAGAAGTGAATTTTGGGAGACCCTGAGAATGATAAGCAAACCAGAAATACAAACCTTTTGAATTCCCCCCCCTGCACTATTTTTGATGTTTGCATTCCTTGGAGACTGGCAGGCTCATACGTGTATTATTTTAAGCTTTTCCCAACCATTCCTTTTTGCACAGCAAGTCAGAATCTGCTGAGTATAACATTGCTGTCTCGCCTTTAAACCTGGATAGCCATTTCAGTCTGGCCAAGGACCCAGTTTCATTCAAGTTCCTCGCTTGGGAGAGGCTGGGAACCAGTCTGTTCCCACACAACCTGGCATCAGAAGGAGTGTTAATGATTTGGCAGAGAATGGCTGCCTAGACTTTCATAGCAGTGACATATTGGCCTAACTATAAGGGGTTATTGGGGTTATAGGGGCTAATGTTGGCTACATTAAGACCTGTGAATGGCTGGCTGGGGAATTCTGGGACGTGAAATCCACAGGTCTTAAAGTTGCCAAGGTTGGATTCCCCTGGTTTAGAGGAAAGTCCCCCCTGGTTTAGATGGGGTCTCATCTTTCATGGATAGACTCTAGGACCACATCAATCTGATCCTTTGATTCTGCAGCATTACAGTTTAAATAAACAAATGATTACCTCTTTCTTATTCAAATGGGAAAAGAAGCCCTTAGTTTAGCACAGCACTTGGAAGATGAACATTTCTTATATTCCTTTAATAATTCCCTGAGAATAGCTGTCCTAACTTTTTCCCCTTCAAGCATGTAGCTTGTGAAGAACATTCCTCTGATCTTGATCAATATATTTCTGGGTGAGAATGGAAAGCCTGTAGAGTACATGTTGGCAACTCCAGTTCATTTTGTTGCTGTTTTTTGGCTATCTTTGCAAATAATAAAGGTAGTCAAAATTGAACTGATGTATAACAAAAAGAAATAAAAATATGAATTTTTAAAGTTTATCCTTGTGGTATGTAGAGATGTGCTTTATTTCTTTATCCAGAAAGGATTACTTCATTACTATGATTCCCAGTTTTGGGCTGCAAGAATCTGAACAATCCCTAGATGGCAACAAAGAGATTCAGAAAGCTGGGTCTTTATTGCCATCTAGTGGTCCACTCAGTTTTTGTAGCTCAGGTTCAGTAACTTGATAGCTAGTTCATTAATTAATTCCATATATTGACCATCTCAGTCGGAAGAGATTCTACTTTTAAGATAACGTTAATATATCAAATAAAAACACAGGTAATCCTCAAGTTACAAGCACAAGTGAGCCCAAAATTTATTTTGCTAAGAAAGACATTGGTAAGTGATTTTTTTACCCCATGTTACGACTTTTCCTGCCACAGTTCTTAAGTAAATCACTATAGCTGTTAACTTAGTAACATGGTTGTTAAGTGAATCTGGCTTCCCCATTGACTTTGCTTGTCAAAAGGTTACAAAACATGATCTCTTGACCCCGAGATATGGCAGACGTCATAAATATGAGCCAGTTGCCTAGCGGCCAAGTTTTGATCACATGACCATGGGGATCTGCAATGGTCATAAGTGTCAAAACTGGTCATAAGTCACTTTTTTCAGTGCTGTTATAACTTTGAACGGTCATTAAATGAGGACCATGTAAGGCAAGGACTACCTGTAATCATGATTCTGGTGCTAAACAGTCATACAATTGGCTCTTAAGGACTTTCTGAAAAAGGCAAGTCTTTGCCAGCCTTGGAAGACCATGAAAGTGGGAGTCAGCCATGCTTTGGAGGTGGGCTGTTCCAATGACAGGGAGTTCCCAAGGAGAACAGCCATCATATGTCATCTTACTGCTCCATTCCAGAAGGGGATATTTGGTAGGTAGTCCTTGTCCACCCAGGTTGGGTGTTCAGAATCTACTTGAGCAAGGAAGTCTCTTAGATACTTAAGCCCAAGGACAACAGAGCTTCATAACTAAAGAACTGCTCTCACAATCAATGAAGCTGTAACAATGGCAAGTACTGCCCAATAAGCACACGGACTACTATATTTGGACCTGCTGAAGCTTCCAAGCATTCTTCAAGGAATGACACATCTAGAATGAATTACAATAATCCTATCAAAAGATGATGAGGTCATAAGTGACTCTCCTCAGTGCATCCTGCTGCAAGGAAGGGTTGATTGCAACTGATAGACTAGCCCAGCGGCCTTCAAACTTGGCCCTTTTATGACTTGTGGACTTCAACTCCCAGAATTCCTCAGCCAGGCACGCTGACTGAGGAATTCTGGGAGTTGAAGTCCACAAGTCATAAAAGGGCCAAGTTTGAAGACCCTTGGACTAGCCAGAGTGGATAAAGGTCCTCCTACCATTGAGCTAGGAAGGACCTCCATGTTCTGTACTTGCCCTCTCTCAGGGACCACCATCCTGTCAAGCGTTACATTTGGTATTATCCTGGAATAAGCTGCTTTCTGAATTAGCAGAGATTTAGTCTTGAAGATGACTATCTGGAGCTTGGCTCAGGATAAATTCAGACATCATATTATTATTATTATTATTATTATTATTATTATTATTATTATTATTATTATTATTATTATTATTATTATTATTATTATTATGTGACCCACCCAGAGTCATTTGTTCAGATGGGCGACTACAGAAATCAAATAAATAAAATAAATATCCGAACTATTATTTATATTCTGGGCATATTAAACCCACACTGGATTGCTTGTTGTTGCATTGCTTTGGGGAGACTCCTCCTACTGCTCCTCCCTCCCTCCCTCACAATATGGGATGATTATCCTAGGAAGGAAAGTAGAAAGCTAAGTTGGTGGTGGGACAATTCTTGATTTGAGGAATTCTGGGAGTTGAAGTCCACAGGTCTTAAAGTTGCCAAGATTGGACACCCATGAGATACAAGGAGAAACAAAAAAAAAATGACCCATTTGGGAGAGTGTAGTAAATTTTGAACCTAGCTAGGTGGCAGCAATTAGCTGATTTTGGCTGAACTTAAAAAAAAAAATCCCCATGGAACCTGGTTAGTATTTGGATTAGGTCATCTCAGAACAGTAAACTAGAGGAGAAATTTTTCAAGAATCCTGGCAGTGGGCCATGGCTCTTACCTTCTGGACCATTGCCAATTACATAGTTATGCCCTGAAGCCACTAGTTGAGGTGGATTTGAAGAAGACATCAAATTATAGAAAACTTTGAAAAGAGGACTGAAAAGACATTTATGCTGAGGCCTGTCTCACTGTGAATGTTTTTTAGTCTTCATTGTTTTAGATAGAAACTTCTCTGATAACTTAAGCATCACCTTGCACTGAGTTTGAGAGGAAGCCTACGGTGACAAAAGTTCTTAAATGGATATCTCCTGGGACTCTGCACAAATTAAACCTAGTCTTGTTGTTTAGGCTTTTTAGAGCTATACATTGTTCCGTCCTATTCTCTGTTGCTGAGTAATTCTGCTACTAAGATTATTTTTCTAAGTAGAAATAGACCCATAGACAAAACAAGTATCTCAGCATAAAGTGAGACAAAACAAGTATCTCTGCACTGCATAAAGTGAAACTATAGGACAACTGAAGATGATCCATGAGTTCTACGTCTACAAATACTACCACATATTTTCCCAATCTGGGTGCTCTCCCAGTCTCCAAAGCCCAGAATTCCCAGCCAGGAAACCATTGCTAAGAATTCTGGGCATTGGAGCACTGATGTCTACCATTTGCCAGGTTGAAATAGACAATTTTAATTAAGTAAGAATTCTTTTGCATCCTCTTCTGTAAACACACTAAAATATAAAACAAATTCATAAGATACACTGACTATATAAACAGATCTTTAAAGAATAGTTGAAGAAACACCACAAAAATACACACATATTAGATTAGGGTGGACCTAAGGTTTCTTGCTCTCTGAGACCTAAGTATAAAATTGTTCTCATCTTCATACCACAGACAGAAATTAACACAATTCACAAATGGCTTCTCCTTTAATACTGGCAACAAGTTAGAATCCTCCATCCTAGCTTGTTAGCTGGTTAGGATTGGCAGTGCAGTCACAGGCCTCCAACAAAAGCCATGAAGATGTCACATACATCAGGATGTCATTTCACCAGTGGAACAAAAGATGTTATTTATGTCAATTGCATCTGGCATATGCAATTAACATTACTTCTTTGATGACATCATGATGCAGATGAACTAGAACTAAAACAACTGTGGCAAAAGAAAGCAAAGGTAGTACCAATAGTCATAGGGGCCATGGTTACAATCCAAAAATAACTGGAGCATCACTTGAACACCATCAGCATTGACAAAGTCACCATTAGTCAATTGCAAAAGGCAGCTTTACTCAGAACAGCTTACATTCTATGACGATAGCTGTTAACACCATCAAACATCCACATTTGCCGATCCCAGGTCCTTGGAAAGGACTCGATAGGTAGACTAAAATGGCAAATTCCGTCTCAACATCTGGCTGACTGTATGGCAAACAATACAACATCAGCAAAAATACAGCCAGAACCCCTTCATCCTTTATGTTGGGACATTTTTGCATTGTGAGGCTGCTCTGTAGAACTTGTGGTTTATTTCTGCAGTGCACAAACACAATATGCAGCCAACTCAGAAAGAGTCCCACCCTTTAAACACTAAAATACCCACTGTGGCCTCTGAAAACTTAGAAGTAAACTGAATAAGGTCATTGCCAAGAAGAAAGCGCTCTGCTATAGTGCGTCATTCCAAAGATGCAGAAATGTATTCATTCCCTCTAATTGTACTCTTGAGGAAGAGAAATTGCCTATGATGCTGTAATTCAAACATGCCATGACTAAAGATAACGACTTCCACGTAGTCTTAAAGAGATTTTGATCAGCTTCAGATTGTACATTTGGAGCAGACTTATCACTTTTCCAATTTGGTGTGTCATGATTTTTTTCTTTCATGGAGTGTTACCTTTCCCCCAAGCTTCTATTTTCTGAAATAGCAGAGAAATTATCACCCTGGGAGCGGAATACTAATATCACATTTCCAAAAAAACCATGGATTCATACAATTGTGGAGTTGGAAGGAATCTTAGAGGTGGTCTGACCATTTTCTGCCTCTATGCAAGACCCACTTACAGCTTCTTCCAAGAATCACAGAATCATAGGATTGGAAGGAACCTTGGATGTTTTCTAGTCCAACCTCTGCCCAAGGAAGGAGTCCTTATATTATCCCAGAGAAATATGGGTGGAGTTGGGTGGAGATCTTCCTTTCCATTATGTTGTCATGCAGCATATGTTCTGCAGTAGCAAAACATACAATATGGAATTATAAAACTGAAAGGGATCTTAGAAGTCCAACTCCCTGCTCAAGGCAGGAGACCTTATGCTATCATGGTCAAATGGTTGTCCAAGCTTTTCTTGAAAACTTCCAGTGATGGAGCACCCACAACTCTGAGAGGCAAGCTGTTCTACTGATGAATCATTCTTAGGAAATTCCTTCTTATTTCCAAGTTGAATTTCCCTCTGACAAGCTTCCATCCCTTACTTCTTGTCCTGTCCTCAGGTGCAATGGAGAATGAAATGACCTCTCTTCCGTGTGATAGCTCTTCAAGTATTGGAAGACAACTATCATGTCTCGTCTAATCTTTTGTCTTTAATAAGCTACACATACCTAACTCCCTCAACCATTCATCATATGATTTAGACTCCACATTCTTGATCATCTTTGTTGTTCTTCTCTGCACTCTTTCTAGGGCCTCAGCATCTTTTTGGAATTGTGGTGACCAGAACTGAATGCAGTACTCCAAGTGTGGTCTCACCAGTGAATGAAGCGGTACTATCACTTCCTGTGAAGAGAAATGGCCCTCCTGCCTCTGAGATCTCTAGCAAAGAAGAACCCCAACTTCATGTGGGGGCCTGTACCACTGGCTGACAGCTCATCCATTCAGGAAGTTCATCCATTCAAGAAGTTCATCCTGACATTTGTAGACAAGTGGAAAAGCAATGGTGAACTGAAGACAACTACACAGAAAGTGGAGACAATGATTGTGGAGAACAAGGAGCTGGGAGATATGGACCATCTTATTGTAATTCTTCTCTGGACCAGGAAGAGGATTCAGATCACCCATTCTCTATATACGAGGGCAATTCGGAAATAAACCTCCGTTTGGTTATCAATGACAGACACTCACAGATCCAGAACTTTTATTATACACATTAGAAAACTACAACATTACTTTACTTTTTGACATAATTACTATTCAAATTGAGGCACGTCATAATGTCTTACAAGGTTTGAAATTCCTTAGTAGTAATCGCTTAGCACCAAATCTGGGCTATGGGAGGGGTGATCAAAAACATCCCAACAGAACTGCTTCAAAGGTTCTTGGGTGCATCTAACGGTGTGCAAGCGAGCATTATCGTGAACAAACACCACACTGGAATTGATGCCATAGAAAACCCTGCCAAATGTGAAGATGCCAAAGGAGTACTGCTAGTGAAGTTCATGGAGCATGGTTCGACCATCAATTCAGAAGTCTACTGTGAAATGTTATGAAAACTCAGAGGAGCCATCCATAACAAGCGTTGGAGCATGCTGACTTCTGGTGTGGTGTTGGTTCACGGTAATGCTCGCCCGCACACCGCTAGACTTTTGAAGCAGTTCCATTGGGATGTTTTTGATCACCCCCCATAGTCCAGATTTGGCGCTGAGCAACTACTACTAAGGAATTTCAAACCTTATAAGATATTATGATAAGTGCCTCAATTTGAATGGTGATTATGTCAAAAAGTAATGTAATGTTGTAGTTTTCTAATGTGTATAATAAAAGTTCTGTATCTGCGAATGTCTGTGATTGATAACCAAATGGAAGTTTATTTCCAGATTGCCGTCGTACAGTTCTTCATAAGAAGAACATAGAACAGTGGTCTCTGGAGGGTTTATACCTTTAGGAACTGAGGGACCACAATTTTTGCCCAAGATACAATTAGGAGCTTTCAAACAGACACTGGGTTTGCATATTTTCTCTCTTAATCCCTTCTGGGAATTACTTATTAACAGGTGGTTTTGTTTTGTTTTTTGGATATTCAGAAAGGCAAATTTGATCATACTGGGTGAGTCTGAAAAAAGTTTTATGCAAGTTTTAAAGACAGAAATATTTTTATTTTGGCATAAACAGCAAAAGGGTAATTAGAATGTTGAGTTTGGAAAGTTATAGATGGATTAAGGGACCAGATAGAATTGAAATAAAACTTTNTCTAAAGAGAACCAGAAAGAAATAAAGATTATCACAAAAGGACAAGAGGCTCATTAATGCAAAATGGAACAATATATTCTAACTGTGGAGGCTTCAAGCATATTTGGGAACAAAACATGCAGATGTTTCTGTCAAGATTGTCTGCTAGTATAAAAATGGGACTTAAAGAGGTTATAGAAATGATCTCACTGGAAAGAACTCAAACAGAGCTGATTCAAAAATGGATAAGAGGCTACAAGAATGATATAGAACAAGAAGTTATATTGGATTTACAAAATTTAAAAATAATTAAAAGGGATATACAAATAACAAACCAGAAGGGGACATGGATAACCTCTTTGTTTCGGATTTAAAAATGAGACCAGTTAAAGTTTTGAAGGAGCTTTTGAGAAGAGACAAAGAGAAACTTAAAAGAAATCAAGGACTGGGACATTGTTTAAAGGAATTAAAAACCAAAACAGTTAAACACAAAGAATATAAAGTTGGATTATTCAATCAAAATATGTCTGTCTCTGTGTGTGTTTGTTTCTGATAACTCTTAATGGACTTCTGCTATCCAGGACCAAATGACGAGTCTTTAAAGATCTGTCTATAATTGGCTATAGATAAGAGAAGTGATATGGGAAGAAGGGATTTTTTTAATCATATTTTTAGAGAAAGTGATAAAGGATAGAGAGGAGAAGAGAGGAGAAGAGAGGAGAGGGGGAGGGACGAGAGGGGAAAGGAAAGTTTATTTTATTAATGATAATTCTTAATGGACTTTTGATGATTATGATTGAATGATCATAAACAATAATTTGTTTATTGATAGGAGATGGAGATATGGGAAGAAGAGACCTTTTGTTGTACTATCTGAGGTGATACGTTACTGAAATTGTACTTGTCTTGATGAAACCAGAAGTCATTTCTTTGTATCTTTTTCTTTACTACCTTTTCCTTTTTTGGTTTTCTTGCAGATGTTTCCTTACCAAACTGAATGTGTTACCTAGTTTGCCAATGAAACATCTGCAAGAAAAAAAACCCCAAAGCTCAGTGAACACCACAGGTCATGCTCGACTTGCCACATCACTGTGTTTGCCCTTCCTTTCCATTGGCTAGGTTCATGCCACGTGTGGTTCAACTTATTTGAGAAATCCAACCACTGTCTTAGCACACTGTGGCATAGTCTCCCAAAAAAAACAACCCCCTTTTATTGTGCATTAGAAACTGCGGGTGCTGCAACTATGTTTTTTGAAACTCAGATTTAGGATCAACTCTGTTGTGTGAGACCAGCCATTTAATGAAAAACAATTCCCTGGGAATATTATTTTCTCCAGCAATGTTATGGTGGCCTCAAATACATTCCAACATGTATGTTATTATTATTCTGTAAGTTTTGTGTATACAGATAGAGTCTTGAAACATTCCCCCCCTTTTTTTTTTTGCCTTTCTATAACCCGTCTTGACCTAGACTTTTTCTTTCCCTTCTTCTTCTCTTCTGACTCTGTTCGCCTCAGAAATTGAAATACAGGGACTCATTTTCGTGGTGTAAGTCACTCTTGTTGAAACATTTATGAGGTGATGGCAGAGTTTCAGAAACTTACAAGACAGGAAAGAGGGTTGTGAGGCAAATATGGATGATTTTTTAGCTTTTTAATTTCCAACCTTAATTTGTGGTGAAAGGCTGACTGAAATGACTTATCGCTTTCCCAAAAATACAAAGCCCAAACCCAGAATAAAAAAAGGGCGCAAGATTTTGATGAGTTATTTCAAGGCCTGCAGGCTGGAGAAACTATTTTTGTCATTAAAGGTACAGCCAACGGTATACGTAGCCCTTGAATTCAAGATGTGGAAAATAGAAGATAGATCCTCCAAAGAGACATAAATGCACGGTGTAAGTGTGATGGCACCACAGGTCATTATTTCATTCTGCAAGTGATATGATATACAGAATAATAGGGTTGGAAAGGACCTTGGAGGTCTTCTAGTCCAATCCTTTGCTTGAGCAGGAGACTGTATACCATTCGGGACAATGTCCAGTCTCTTCTTGAAAATCTCCACTGACGGAGCACCCACAGTTTCCGGAGCCATCCCACCGATTAATTTTCTCACTGTCAGGAAATTTATCCTTAGTTCTAGGTTGTCTCTCTCTTTGATACGTTTCCATCTGTTACTTCTTGTCCTGCCCTCAGGTGCTTTGGAGAGTAAGTCAAACTGCTCTTTTCTGTGACAGCCCCTTAAGACTCTATCGTATCACTCCTACTCCTTTGTTAGACTAGACCAGGGGTAGGCAACCTCGGCTCTTTTATGACTCGTGGAGAATGGCTGGCTCAGGAATTCTGGGAGTTGAAGTCCACGAGTCATAAAAGAGCCAAGGTTGCCTACCCCCGAACTAGACATATCTAGTTCTTGCAACTGTTTGCCTTATGCTTTAGCCTCCAGTCCCCTAATCATCGTTGCTGCTCCTCTCTGCACTTTGTCTAAGGCTTCAACACCTTTTTTGTATTGTGGTAAGCAAAACTGGACACAGAATTCCAACTGTGGTCTTACCAGTATGAAAGTTAGTTCTCAAGACAACTACAAATAAAGAGTCTGATACCAAATCAGTTCATTACCACACGAGACAAGTCAAAATTTGTGACACTCATGCTGATGCTGTCATTATTTATGTGGTATCTCTTGCTCCCTTGTTCCCCATCCTTCAACCCAAAGGATACTGCTGTTCCTACTTTTACTTAGAGAACAATGATAAACTCTTTTAATCTTGTGGATGAAGGACAGTTTATGATCCAGACTAGGACTGAGCAATATGACCTTTCATGGATCCTTTTATTGGGTTTCTGAATTCTGTGAAATACGTCTGATTTGGAGGCAAATGACTGAATGGAAGTGTCCTAATAGTCTTTTTTTTAGGGGGAAAGTTGAATCAAAATGGTTTGGGTAAATACTGATGGTAGGGACTACTCTTAGCATCTTTTGGAGATGCTTTTGGAGATAACGTGTGGATGAGACACAGATGCAAAATCAGAAAAACCAACTATTCACGTGGAAAATATGTTTATTTTAGATTTGGCAGGAAATGTAATAGGATGTGCACTTGCGTACGTACACTCAGGGAGGACTTCTTCGGCCCTTCCTTCACAATTGTTATTGTTGCACTCTCCCACAATGTAAGGGTAGGACTAATTGCTGCTAACACAGGGGCATGTCCCTTAACAGGGAAATGTCCTTTTTGCACTTTTACTCAGGAGATATATACAGAACTTCATATCTTTCTTCTTGTGCAGAATCCATGCTAATCTTTATTTATATATTAAATTCATATGCCTTATATAATGTTCTCTGTATCATTCAAATGTAGTATATGTACTTCCTCCTCCTGCTTCTCCTAACAAAGTAACTAGGATGCCTGATAAAATAAACTCAGTGTTGGAGTGAGACTACACATTTCAGAAGCAAATACAAATGGCTTAATTTGTGTAGATGAA